GCTTGTAAGCTATTCCCATAATAAAACTTTGACTGTGACTTCGATTCTGCTTATTGGATGATGAGTACTGCCAACGTGAAGCTTTCCGTTCGTGTTCGGGGTCGTTGAACGTAAGATCTAATTTTGAATTAAAATAAATGTTATTTGTGATGAAAACTGAAGAGTTTTTTTCTGTAAAAGTTAACGTGTTTGTAAGTTGATGAAATCTACCTATATATAATTTACAATTGAGTCACATACTCTTAACATCGCCACTCCAAATTTATCGATGAATGATTTTTGACACAGTTTTGGTTATTGATGACCGTAAACACGAATGATCGAGAACTAAGACATTGACAGTCACTAAGATATCACACCTATTTGACGATTACAGAAAAACCCGGATTTGGTCGTCCCAGAACTGTGGTTCAGTCTGTTCTGCTACAATGTGGCGATCTATCTCTCCCCTGGCTGGCTTACCAATAGCACTGGTGGACTCAGTCGTCGCACGTCCCGTAATGATCGATTTCGTTCACAGCCCTGGGACGGTTCGGAAAGTGCGACATCATCACCAAATTCGAATTCAGACATCCATGGTAATGTGGAGTCCTTACAGGTGGTCAGTGATCTTCGGGATTCCGCGTATCAGATAGCCACGGAAAGCATCAATTCCGTGGTACGAACTGCGTTTGAGGTGAGTCGCTCTGCTTTTATTGTGCACCAAGATACTTGTGTTTGTGCGTGTGTTTGTGATTAGGTGAATACCGAAAAAGTCATTTAACGTGCGATCGTTAATTCATGGCCAACGCTTTGAAATAGTTATATCTTACATTTGTGCTCACATCACCGTCTCTCTCCCACTTACCAGCTCACCTCGAAGACATAGACCAAGATACACAGATATGTAGATTAGCATCGTCACGATTACCGATACCGTCAGTGACGCCCTGTTCTACTGGATTCGGTGTGCGTTGTGCACCTTGCGTCTGTGTGGCATATCGAACGACAAACGGAGAACAACAGGTCTACCGACAAATTCACAGGGAATAATCCTATGTGCAAGCATGTGTACTGTGTGTGTGTCTGTGTATATTACGGTCAGCTTTAGTTATGTAAGGAAAGCGCAGTTTCCTCATTTATACGGATACATGTTCTACGTTGTCTTATCCAATGCATTCACAGTCGGAGTCCTTCGAATTAGAGGAAATGAGTTCACGAACAAAAGCCTAACTGTACTGACCCATCAGCAATTTTTCAAAACCACTATCAAAATAAACTGACAGTTTGATGACGGCACTACAAAGCATTAGTTTTCTAGGTGGAAAGAACTCGGTTAGACCCATATGTGAAACCGGTTGTATAGCACAGTGGTGCCGGCAGATTTGAGGGTGTTGTGGAGCTGATTGTGAACCTTGTGATACAACTAGAAACGCTTTGATTCATTCCCTGCTCTTCGGCGGAAGTTACATTGGTGAGTGAAAGAATAATATTTGCCTCTTTTGTAGTAGATCATGAAGCATAGATTTTAGGCGATTCCCCTGGAAAAAAGTCGACAAATGTATATCCACATTGAATGGACACTCTTTGTCTCTCCACTGATCAAAAGAATCGTGGTGCATTTAAGGAAGAATAATTCTCTTAAAATGCAATTAGACTGAATAGGTTATATATGCTGGAAGTCTTGAGGTTATTCTAGATTCAAGAATGAAACCCATTGTAATATTAGAACACAAGTTAGAAAGTGAACAGATGTTTTCGAATAATTCATAATCGTGCTCGTTGAGGCGATAGGAATTCGCCTGTTCACACCAGGGTTTAGACAGACCCGGTCCAATCGGGGAAGTTTGACGGCCGAAACACCAATATTCTCCTGGGGTTCCCAGCGGAATGCGATTGGTCGGATTCACTTGAAGTTGAAAAGGTACAGTTCATCTGAACTCCGCGAATGGTCATTTACTTTTGTAGCACGCACATGTTGAAGGTACATTTGCATACACGTATTCGAACTGCAATTCATCAAATGATTGAGCGACTTGCCTTATGTAAAAATATAGTTTGAATGTGTCACATGTCACATGATTAAAACAAAGTACAACCTTTATCCCCTCGAAGGACGCTGACATAAAGAAATTTTCCTCACAAGCTAGGCTTCGGGTTTTTCAGTGTTTTTTGGAACGGGGATGAAGGTGGCAGCATGTTTGTGTTATGCGCTATCAAACTTCAAATGTAATCAAGAAGATGCGACAATAAGTTATACGAATAGGTCATCCGTTTAGGGAAAATGGAGAACCCACCAATCGCTATTGGACTAGCGCTCTGCCTACACTTTGATGACATCATTGTATTTCCAGCCAGTGCAAACCTAATAGCTTTCACTGTGGCCGTACGAGTCGGTCAAATGCAAATGAGTATACATACTTCAAAGTGAATCCAGCAAGTGATTCAGTATGCCGGAAACACATCGTTAAGCGAAGTTTGAACTGCGGTTCATTCGCACTCGCACCCGAGGGAATTGTGTCAGATTGCAGAAAGTGATCACAACTCATAAGCACACACACATCGTCCTGAATCGTTTGTGTCTGTGCTCGGGTGAGTCGACCGGTTTGTGTTGAATTTCCGCTGCCCGTGAAAAAAGACAAATCGCACTTGTCAGTCGTTGCAAAATGGATTGAAATTAACGGCCGATGACAAAACCCATTTGGTCTGAATGAGGGCGTCAGGTCAGAGTGAGAAATATGCAGATAATTCACCTGTCTTATTCCTGGCAAAGTAAACTGCAAATATCTTCAACTGTGACAAAACGCACAGGGCATTTTCTTCAAACCAGGTGGGTTTAGAGTGGTAACAAATGGGTCCAGAATGATACCAGTGACTATGGAGTAGTTGAGTGATAAGGGAAAACGCTTGTCTTCAAACCCGCATAGTTATTCATCCGTATCACGCGAGCTGTTTCGTGTTTCCTTCCTTCCTTTTTCATGGGTTAGCGATGATGAAATCAGATTGATCAAACCTTGAGGATTTTAGAGAATGGTTACACTCCACGACCTTTATTATTCAACTTACATTTTACTCAGAATATTCTCAGTAATGACGATGCAGAAGGCTGCAGATTTGGCCAACATGAGTGCATAAACCTTATATTTACTTGACTTAATTTGAAAGCGCACTTTACTAACACGACCATCGTTGACTGAATATGTAATCCTGACAGATGAAGTTATTTCCTACCTTCATGGAGGGATTAACAGAAACATGCAAGTTTCCTGGGCACAAATGAAACCACGTGTTCTAATATAAGCACACCACTGCCAAAAACCCTTTTGGAATACAACAAGACCCTACTGGGTCCATATTTCTTTGGTGATAACAAGTGAACCGACGTATTTACAGCTGTATTCAACGTTGGCAACCCAGCATATTCAATCAATTTCGAAGGCTGGAAGAATTTGGCACGACTAAAATAAATTAACACAGGAGGACCTGTGACATAGCCGTCCAGTATTCGATGACCTATCGCTCCTTGGATGACGATTGCTAGAAGGGCACTCTCATCGCCCTGTATTTTGTTGTGCAAAGGGTCCTTCACAAGCATACATAAATGGTTTCGATGAAATGAAGGGAAGGGAATCACTATCTGGTTCGACCAAGGACGTGATTAGTACGTCTCCATCATCAGCATTCTTTGGACGCGGTTGTCACGGTTTCTCTGAAGCTACAAACTGTGATAGTGTGCAAAACTGCTATCAAAACGTGAAGTGCAATCTATTCTACGTTGTTTTTCGTGAGCTTTTCTGGTTATCATCGCGCGAAGGAAGAACAGGAGAAATTTCGGGTGACAAATTCTTTGGTTTATTTGCTGTATCTCACTATATGCTAAGCGACGTTTTTGATACTTAAGCGCGTCTGATCTCTTGGACCAGTTAATCTCATATGTACTATTTTCCACACATGTCTGAGTTTAGACTGTGCCAGACAAATCACGGTACAATGATCTTTATTAAAAGAAAAACATTCCACGATTTGCATGTGGGCTGAATACGGTCTGTTTACCAGAATAAGGCAGGTGAATTTCCTTGGGGAATCCACAACCGGAGCCTTCGGCTGACCAAAGCCTGATCCGCAAAGCAGTGGAGTGGTGTGTGAAAACCGCAGTCCATTGGGAGCCAGTGTCCAGTTCATCGAATCATACGTCTTTCGGATGGGGTCAAATGTCCAAGGCGCCCGATACACCTTGATGCCCAATTGAGCTGGTGATGGTTGCCAGCACCGGAAAGGTGTGGGTGTGGTTCGTACGCCTCGTCTTGGTTGGTTTGGAATGATGGTTTTTGGTCAACTCCCCTAGGTGAACTGCCAGTGGTCCACCGGTTACAGCCCCGGATATCGGATCGTCGTCCTCTCACCTTGGTGGGAAAACACCTCCACCACGAGAAGGCAGTGAGTTGGGCTTCCTCAGCAGAGACTATTTGAGACGCTTGGTTGTATGGGATCATATCGCGAGGTGCAAGGGAAGGGTGACCAGCCGCAAATCTAGACACCCACCCCCGACCATACACTGAGGATTTCGGAGGCACCAGTTAATCTTACGCATGTTTATACGATACCTTTGACTATCATACTGTTGAATATCAAATCCGAATTCCAATCGTGTGTCTGTTGATCATAACACGTTCTTTCCTTATCAGAAAAGTTAATAGAAGTTTTATTTATGCATACTCTAATAAATGACAGTCCGCAAATACGATATTTTGTACTTTTGCGTGAATTTGTTTTTGTCAGGAACTACCCCCCTATTTGAAGAGCTTCCTAAACGGACCCAACTCATCCCCCATCAGCGCAAATACATTCTTTCCGAACAACATAGTGAATTTTCCAGAATTGCGTCATCGATTAGGCAAACTGGCCAACTGCTTCCAAGTCGCGTTTTATCCTACCGGGATGGGTGAAGTTGATGTGGCCGCATCCACTGCCTCGTCTCCGTTCCACACGGGTAGTATGGATAGTTCAAACATGATGCTGGACAACCTACCGGAACAACGCACTTGGCGAGCAAATGGGACACGGGGTCGTCAGCAAAGGGGATTCAATCCGATGGACCAAAGTGATCACAGTCTTTCACCCGGATCAGAAAGTGATCATGGGGACCAAGGGACTTTGTACGATGCGAGTCAATTAAGACAGTCGAATCAGAGCAGTGTGTGGAACAGTGCGTCCGAACGCGGCTCAATCGACACAGCTAGCCGCATTGAGGCGGTGGTTTGGCGTCACATACTGGCCGGTGTATCCCATCATTTACTTTACACTCTCGTATCGAACGGTAAGTGTGAGCAGTCTTGGTTCTTGTTTGAT